AAAAAAAAAAAAAAATCAGCTACAGCTTATTTAGTTACTCACTTTATTGGATTGGACCAGCTTTGCTGAAGAAGAAGATTTGTCCTTCTGAGCAGCAAGACCTTCAGAGTTTTGAGATTCGGATAATTTCTGTGTATGATCTTTCAAGGATAATTGGGGAAAGCTCCAGTCTTTAGTTGGGTTGGAAGCTTCATAAGCCGATAAAGATGCCAAATATTTCGAGCTGGGAGTCCTCAATCGGTATATCCGACCTGTGTGAAGGGACACAAATAGACTTAATGGAGTGCCTTTTTCCTTCTTTAATTTAAATTTTGAGTATGTCAAAGAGAATGCATGAACTCAAAGAATAAAACCCAGTATCTCAACCTATAAATTCTTCTAAATGAACATATAAATATCAATTTAGAGCCAAATATTACACATAAAAATTGGCTTGGCAAATTTTTTATTATTCTTTTCAAGGGCATACATACCTAGTGTTATTCCATTTTCCAGGAGATAACATTGGCTTAGTAGCAAGATCAACAATATCATCCTATGGCTAATTACTTTTATGTCCTCAAACCGAACAAAACACTATCAAATGTGTAGTCTCTACAATATTTCAGAGTGCACATAAAAGCAGTAGCTGTAACTTCATGCACTTCTCAAGTAATCTCCAAATAGATCAAATTTCTATTTTTTTTTCTACAAAATGGCACATGGGAAAAGACAAACCTGAAGTCACTCGTACCATATCAAAGTACACTTCACACACTGGTGCACTTTTCAATATACCACCACCCGAAGGCACTGAAGGATGAAGTTTGCTAGAACTCTTGTTTAATCTGCCAACAAGTCGAGCCACCTCTGTTTTCCCACCTTTTTTGGTCCCTCTAACCAAACCCCAATCCCATAAATCCACCGTTTGCAAATCCGAAACCCACTCCTCGTCTGATCTACTACTACTCACTTGCCCATATTGGGCTCGCCAGTTTTCTTCTTCCTCAGTTACACCTGAGAATACAAATGAATCCACTGTCAGTGGAAGTTATAGCAGCTGAGAAAACAGATAAAGATTTGTACTGAGTTTTCCAAATAAGTTGCAGATTATAAGTGGTCTATTACAAAGAAATAGTACATACCTTTAGCTAGGACTTTCTCACTAAAATTTTTCCAGAAATCAGGGTCATCAGGGACCCATTCGCCTTCTTCCAGTTCATCGCTATCATTATCTCCTGCACGGTGACAGATAAATGAATTATAGTAGCTCCTTGCAATGATTTTCCACTAATTACGAAAATTGACAAAAAGTAAATATTAAATACAGTTCACCAACCATTCTCTTGAACACTTGGATTATCAATGTCATTATTCTCAGCTTCATAGGTTGTTTGATTCGAATAGCCTGACAAATACATCTCAATAAGAGTGTCTTCTAGCCTGCAACAAAATTGTGTCTCGACAAAATGGCAGATATAATCATAAAAAGAAAATACCAATAAAAATATTGAAGAAAAAACAAAATTGATCAGAGACTAAGCATACCATTCTGATGGTGGCGGCGGATAATCTGATTGTTCGGTGGCATTACAAGCCGACAAGTCTGTCTAGACACAACCACAGTAACAAAATATCACAAATTGGGAACAAAACAAGAATTATAAGCAGATATTATGTAACAGTTAAGTATCAGTATTTACTCCTTAAATGCGTCCAAAAGTAGCAGAACAAACAAAAAAATAAAATAAGAAGATGAAAAAGAAGAAGAAAACTAATGACTAATATTTGAACTAAATAAAATATGTGTATTAGAAATAGAAACAAAATACTCCTGAAGCTAAACAAAAGAAGACATCGGTCACATAGAAGTACCATTGTTTCTAACATATGCAAGAAGTCAGCAGTTGAAAATCACAGTATAATCTAGTGAAAATACTCGAGGACTAGAATCAATTCAGATAGATATACTTGTTCACCTAGACAAGGATCAACAGAAGCTTCTATCCCTTCCATTTGAGCTTCAAATATTTCTCCTCCGGAATTACAATTAACCATATCTGTTTGATCCCCGGCCTGCGTTTAAGACGGTTTCCCAAGAGAAATTATATCTCCATCATGAACAAAAATCAAATAATAAAACTATAGTACCACTGCTATTAGATAGGTCTAATGGTTAGGCCAGTCATACTTTTTGCCCACAGATACATATACTTTCAAACTCAAATGTTGTACTCTAAAAAATATCATAAAAGAAAGTATGACATTTCATCGCATAAGCACGATTTTTATTCTAATAAAGTAAAAATAGGCCGACCCGCCTAACGGTTAGAACTCATCAAACAAGAACTTATGGTAAAATTAATACCTGATTACACTCATGAAGCACATATTTTCCATCTTCGAATTTGTAATAAAGCTGGTCTCTGGTGCTATAATACCAACCTGCTTGTGGGTCGTGGTAAAATCCAGTACTGCATCGACATAGCAAATAAGAGAGCTAAAAATCATTTCATCCCATNNNCAAAAAAAAAAAAAAGGAAAATCAAATTCATGATTCGGACATGAATAAGCGAAAGTGTATACACGAACACATCAATTATGGATAAAGTCCTAATCCATTGTACGATAATCGAGAAGCAATCGGAATTTACAATCACTGGTAATAACAAATTTCAGGCGTGTAAAATGGGAAAAAATTCAGGAAAATAGCGGTAATAAGAACCTGGCATGGTAGTAGAGCTGAGAACTTTCGTCCCATTGGAAGCCGAATTCAGTTTCCTCTTCGGTGTCGCCCGCCATAGCTGAGCTTTCTGCTAATTTTTAGCTCTCTAGAGCTTGCGAAGCCCAGATACAGTTTTGGTAAACTTTCTCAACTTTCTTGGTATTTTGTTAAATTTAATTTTGTACCCCTATTTTACCACGGAATTAGAGTCCGACCCATGGTGTTTGGAGGAGTTACCAGAATGCCCTTATTGTTTCACCTTTTTTTTTTTTCAATTCAACAACTAAACGGCGACTCGCCGGTTTCGGGTCGGCCGTTGATTAGGCAAATTGGTTGGATTTTGACAATTGATGTTGCAATGGTTGCAAAATCGAACGACTGTGCAAGTTCAACGATCGAGATTAAATTGATGCCGACCTAGACACTAATACAAAATTCAAACTTATTTTCGGCGCCAACTCCGACGGACCGGGTTAGGCGCAGAACCGCCATCTCAAACGCAAGCCCAATTCCGATTCTGGCGTTGAAACATGGTAAGTGTACATAAATAAGAACAAAATGGCTTAAATCATCCCTGTTGTCCATTTCTTGACGACCATCAACTATATATATAATACAAACATCCACAAAGGTTTAGGTTTATACTGAAACCTTTGTCTTCTTTTATATCTTTTTAGTTTTGCTTGGTTTAATTGATAGGTACAGACAGTCTGTTTGTATAACTTTAGAAATTACTGTGTACTTACTTTCACTCTCTTGGAATGAATTTTTCACTTTTCATAAAAAAAAAAAGAAAAAGAAAAAGAAAAAGACAAACATCCACGTCACCAGTGAATTATTAAGCACACAACTTGTACATAAACTTAATACAACTTGCATAATCTGCAACCACTTCACAGATTAAAAAACAGTCACAAGTGGCCTAAAATGGAACACAAAAGGGAACCAGAACAGTTGAACAGCCTCAATAATCTTTGATCTCTGTATGAATAATTTTGACTGTATATTGTTCTTAGGAAATTCCACACACAAGAAAAAACTATATCTTTGATCTTTGTATGAATAATTTTGACAGTATCCTGTTCTTAAGAAATTCCACACACAAGACAAAACTATTGGTCGGTCGATTGATCTCTCTCTGGTTCGTCTTCGTCACAGACTAATGGACGTGGACGAGCTGGTCGGGCGGGCGCACATTTTGAAGGCACTCAAACGCAAGTTTCTGGGCAGAGAGGAGCCTCTTCGGGTCTGTGTGATCTCGGGAATGACCGGCATAGGCAAAACGGCCCTCGCTAGATGCATCTACCACGACCCGTACGTGCGGGCCCACTTCACGTGTCGGGCATGGGTAACCGTCTCCCCAAAAGGAAGCAAGCTAGACGACATAGCTTGGTCCCTCCCAGGCTGCAACAACGACAACACGATCAAGATTAGCAGTAGTCCCTTCGACATGCAACAGCTGAACAAAATTTTGCCCGGTAACAGGTACTTAGTCGTGATCGACAACTTGTGGGATTTAAGAACCTGGCAAGAAGCGATAAAGTCTGCCCCGGACGACACGAAAGGGAGTCGAATCATTGTGACGACCCAAAACGGGGTCCTCGCTCGAGATGTCAGACTGTCGAATGGCTATGTGATTCGGGATCCTTTCCTGAACGATGACGACAGCTGGCGTCTGCTCCGTAGAGTGGTGTTTCCCGATGGCAGCTACTGCCCGTGGGAACTCGAGAGTATCGGGAGGAGAATCTCCAGCAGCTGTGAGGGCCTTCCACTTGCAATCATCCAAGTCGGGAAGCTCCTTTGTGAGGTCGACAAGACGGCTGAGAAATGGAAGGAGGTTGAAGAGAGTGATTTTCTGCTCAACGACCCGGTACTTTTGCATAAGGCGTCTCTAAGTTACCAGCAGCTGCCTCGGGGTCTGCAGCCCTACTTTCTGTACGTGGGACTAATCCCGAAAGGAACCGAGATCCGCCCGTCTAGAATCATCAACTTGTGGATTGCCGAGGGATTCATCGGACAAGGGTCGACTGAAGATATGTCACAGAAAGAGGTGGGAGAACTTTGTCTGATCGAGCTCATGGCACTGAGTCTCATTCAAGTTCTGAACTACAGTTCCATCGACATGGGAATCAAAACCTGTAAGGTCCACGTCATTTACCGGGGTTTCTGCATCAAGGAGGCTCGGGACGAAGGTTTTTTCCACGTCATAAAAAAGTTGGAGCATGCCAATGCTAGCTTCCTGCAGGGCACAGTCAGTCAGCCAAGGCTTTGCTTTCATAACAACATTGTACTTGGATTCAAGCAAGCTCGTGCGGCGCTTGAATCAGTTTCATCCGCATGTTTTCTTCTCTGTTATGGTCCACGCCATCAGTACCCGGTACTGAACGGGACTCCTCTGCCCTTTAAGCTGCTCAAGGTGTTGGATGCGCCAGCTGTCCGTTTCTATGAGTTCCCTGACCAAGTACTCAGCCTCGTTCGGTTAAGGTACCTGGCCATCACCTACGATGGTGAGATCCCATCGTGTATTTCTGGACTCTGTGACCTCCAAGTCTTGATTGTCCATCGGCATCAAATCGTCAGATCCTCGTTTGCTGTGGCTACTAGTTATCTACCGATGGAGATTTGGACTTTGCGTAAACTGAGGCACCTACACTGCATGGGATGGGACCTCCCGGATCCTTCTACGACTTGTTTTCTCCTAAAAAACCTACTAACTCTTTCGGGAGTGAGCTCTCGGAGTTGTACGCATGGAGTGCTTGCAAGGATGCCCAAGTTGGAAAAAGTAGGAGTTCAGGTTGTGCCAGCACATGATGCAGTTGAGACCTTTGCCTTTTTCAGCAATTTCTCACATCAGTATTTCAAGTTCGAGTCGTTCAAGTGCATCGTTGTAGGACCTGATCTTGGGACCAGTTTCGTTTCTTTGGTAACTCCATCATTTCCTTTTCACATTAGAAAGATAACTCTGAGTGGGTGTCGGTTTCCATGGGACTATATAAAGGTGATTGCCGAACTCATTAATCTCAGAGTGCTTAAACTGCGACAGTATGCTTTCCAGGGCCCTGAGTGCTTAATGAGCGATGTAAATTTCTTCAGGCTAAGATTTTTGCTGATGGAGGACTTGGATGTCGAGAACTTTATAGCTGGGACTTGTAGCTTCCTGAAGCTCAGGAGCATTCGTATCAGGCATTGCTACAAATTGAAGTCCTTCGATTTGGGCCAGATTATACCGGATGATATAGAGGTGGATGATTGCGGAGTAGTGATTGAGGAATGGACTCGAGGATTTAAAAAGCAACATCTTGCTCATGTTCGCATCCGTTCCTCAAGGAACAATGGTGGCAGCAAAAATAAATCATGACATACACCTGGTTCGTATTCGTGTCTTAATATTTTCCATAGAGTGCACATAAAAGCAGTATTTGTAACCAAATTGTAATTTTTCTATAAAGTGACTCATGGTACAAAAGACAAACCTGAAGTCACTCGTACCATATCCCATAAATCCACCGGTTGCAAATTCGACACCCATTCCTCGTCTGATCTACTACTCACTTGGCCATATTGGGCGCGCCAGTTTTCTTCTTCCTCAATTACACCTGAAAGGATATGAATGCATCCATGTCAATGGAAGTTATAGCAGTGAAGAAAACAAATGCACATGAATACTAAGTTTTCCAAAATGTTGTATATATGAAAGAAGCTGTTATATGGTTGCAAATGTTGAATTCGTTAAGAAAGAGGGTTCTGTGAGTAACTTAGTTGTACAAGCGTTTACTGTTCATAAAAATCAAACAGACCTAAAGCAAACCCTCTTTCTCATAACAACAAGAGTATGCCAATTCATAAGGAAAAAACAGCAACACGAAAACTATATATTCTTTTCTTTTTTCTTTTTTACAGCCCCAAGCTGACGATTTATCTGGTTTTAGTGATTGCAAAGGTTTCTAAAATAACTATGTTTACAGCTACAGGTCTCTGGTCGAGATAAGCCAGCATTAAATAAAGGAATACATTCTTGGCAACTAAGATGAATAGGTATTATGCTTAGTGATATCCAAGACATGCATGTGTAGTAAACTCAAAGAACGAGATAGAGAATTCAAATAGTACATACCTTCAGCTAAGACTTCTCACTAAAATTATTCCAGAAATCAGGGGTATCAGGGACCCATTCGCTTTCTTCCAGTTCAACAGTATCATCGTGCAATCGTCTTCTCCTGCACTTTGACAGATAAATAACTTATAATAACTGCTTGTGATGATTTTCCTCCAATCATGAAAACTTATAAATGTAAATATAAGAGACAATACACCAGCCATTCTCTTGAACATTTAGATTATCAATGTCATTATTGTCTTTGGACACAGTCATCGTGTTAGAATCAGCTGCACATGTAGTTTGATTCGAATAGCCTGACAAATGCATCTCAATAAGATGGTCTCTGTTGCTATAATACCAACCTGCTTGTAGGTTGTGGTAAAACCCAGTACTGCATCGACAGAGCAAATAAGAGAGCTAAAAATCATTTCATCCCATCAAGGAAGATGAAATTCTTGATTTCGAATAAACGAAAGTGTATGCGCACACACAAAATGGATAATGTCCTAATCCTTGGTACGATCATCGAAAAGCAATCGGAATTTACAACCACTGGTAATAAAAAATATTCATGCGTGTTAAAATTGTGAAAAAAAACTCAGGAAAATAGCGGTAACAAAACCTGGCTGAGAAATTTCGTCCCATTGGAAGCCAAACTCAGTTTCACGTTCAGAGTCGCCCGTCATAGCTGAGCTTTCTGTTATTTCTCCTTTGATTGACAGACCCAAAAACCAAGTACGGCGGCGGTGATCGGCGGACCGCGCTGGTGAGCGGCGGCAGCCGGCAAAATTCAGGCGGATGGCAGCGGAACTACTACACAAAGCGACGGACGGCAGCTAGGACTTATGGAGGTGCCATCTCAGTTCTGTGATGGTCCGAGTAGCAAGCGGTGCCGGTGAATACTTTCCAACTCGGATTCAGGTGTGTGTGGATTGATGTTTGCTAGAGTAGAGAATTGGCGATATTTGTTGTTTAATGCATAAGATGAATTGATTTGTGCGGAGAAAATTAGAAATATAATAGTTTGAATATGTACACCACGTGTTTGATAAAAGTACAAAGAAGAACTTGGAGGGAAAATTGCTTTAAACATGGCATTTGTTTGTCAGCTCCACCTTAGCTTCGGGAGGCTCAATCGCCTTAGCATAAGGGATTTCTACAAATTGAAGTCCATCTTAGCTTCTGGTTTGTGTTGTACTTTTATATATGTGAATTTGTGTTGCACTTTGATTGATGGGTGGCTACCGGCTAAGTATTTGTCAAAACTTCGATCAAACAATTTGTTTGTTGTTTGTTATAATGTACATTTGAAACCTTAAATGAAAAACACAAGTCTATGTAACCGCTCGTCTCTAACTCTTGTAGCCCAGGCCTCAATATCTGGGCTGCAATCCTCCACCTCCAGCACACCGAGTTGGGGAATTTCAGACAACTCATTGTCAACCTCACGCAGCTTGTAGCAATGCCTGATGACCACACGTTCCAGCATTGGGAAGCACCTTTGGTTAACTCTCCACTCCTCTACATCCAAGTCTTCCAGCAGGAGAAATTTCAGCTTCTCGAATTTCTCGTCACCAGGTGGTGTTTCCCAAACGGCCCCCCAGAAGGCATACCACCGCAGTTTAAGCACTTGGAGTTTAGGCAACGCAGCCACGTGACTGATGTGTTCCCACGAGAATCCGCACCCGCTGAGGGATATTTTCTTGATGAACAAGGGGAAAGGGTCCTTGACGCTAGGGAAAACATGGGAGCCGAGACTACAGTCAACGAGGAAAGAAAATGCGAAACAGAGCTCAATTCACCAAGGACGCCTAATTTCTTCAACGGTGACACCCGCGTGGTGCCGCGTCTTCAGTGCGGACGACGAGAGTCAGGGAGTTGTACGCTCCCCGATAATCGAGGCGCACGTTCACCCAAAACCGGGCCTCGAAGTGCCACCACACGTCAAGGTCGTCGTACACGGCTTTAGCCAGCGTGGTCTTACCTATGCTGGCCATCCCGATGACAGGGATCATCACAGTGAATGGAGGGTTCTCGTCGAGCAGCATCCGCTCGAGAAGATTTAGATTTCGCTCGTGCCCAACAATTTTATCGTCAGTTGTTGTAATAATAGGCGCGGGTACAGGATTGTGTTCAGGTACATTTACGACTGAAGAAGCACTAGGCTCCAGAGACAGTGCCCTCCATTGGAACTCATCCTCGATGCCCGGCGGGTTGCCGCTCTCTGCCACCGCAGTCCATCCCTCGACTGTCCGCCCGGCCCTGCGCAGGTTCTGCGCCACCGCTCGGATAAGCAGGGGATTTCCCCCCATTTCCTTGAGGATATCTCTCCCAATCTTCTCCAACTCAGACAAAAAGCACACACCTCCTACTCCAAACACCTCGCTGCAGAGAAGTTTCCAGCTCTCATCCTCGTTCAGCAACCCGCCGGAATGAATTTCCGGCAAGCCCAAAATCCGACGTGCATTTTCCAGGATGTGATCGACGGCCGAGATTATGTCCTGCATAAGGCTTTCCAGTTATTCGGACTGAGATCGTAGTATGAAGGAGTCGATTTTGTCTTCGGCTCGGTGCATTTCGTGCTCGATTTTTGATTCGAGGCTGTGCACGGCATCAATCATGGATGCAGGGATGCGGTGGTTCCGACCGAGGGCTGAAAGCAAGTAATGGAGCTTCTTGTGGAGGGAGTCGAGGAAAGAGGGGTCGAGAAAAGACGGGTCGAAGGTCGGGGCAAGTTCGATGGTGTCGATGAGGGACAGCACAGCGGGGTAGGCCATCTTTTTGTTCGTCGGATATTATGTAAGAAAGTTTACTTAGCTGTGTCTACTCTTGTGTGTTCATTGGCATTTGGATGGGTTTTTGTTTCACCAAAACAAGATTAGTGTATTTATTGGAGAAACAATTGCATTTGCATGTTCTGTAGTTGGGTTCTGTTTATATAAATAATAGTTTCCTAAGTTTTTATGTATCGTTGACCCGTAAAATATGGAATTTATCCATTTATTATTATTCTGATTGTCAACTATGCTTAAAAAGCATGCACTTGTTCTCCAAGTGTATTACTTTTATCTATTAATAAAATTTTACCATTTGAAAAAAAATAAAAATAAAAAGAAAAAGAACTGAAAAACTTGTTAATTGATGAGTTCAAGTTGTCCTTTTTTAATAATCCACAGTGCATTGTGTTATCCTTACCAAACAGTGAAAAAGGTCTAAAACAAAACTAGAAATATTCAAGGTTTTACGCAGAACCATCAAATCGGAGGTTTGAACCGTCGGTTAATGGTGCTGCTTCAAATCGCCATCGAAACTGTGGACGCATTCATATCCTTTTATTTAAGTCTGCAACATTTCGAGAAACTTAGTATTCATGTGCATCTGTTTTATCCGCTGCTATAACTTCCATTGACAGGGGATGCATTCATATATCCTATTCATATATCCTTTCAGGTGTAACTGAGGAAGAAGAAAACTGGCGTGCCTAATATGGCCAAGTGAGTAGTAGATCAGACGAGGAGTGGGTGTCGGATTTGCAACCGATGGATTTATGAGTTTGTGGTTTGGTTAGAGGGACAAAAAAAAGGCGGGAAACCAGAGGTGGCTCGACAGGTTGGTAGATTAAGCATGAGTTTTAGCAAACTTCATCCTTCAATGTCTTTGGGTGGTGGTATACTGAAAAGTGCACCGGTGTGTGAAGTGTACTTTGACATGGCACGAGTGACTTCAGGTTTGTCTTTTGTCCCATGTGTCACTTTATAAAAAAAAGTAGAATTTGCTCTATTTGGAGTCTACCTGAGAAGTGCATGAAGTTACACTTACAGCTAATGCTTTTATGTTCCCTCTGTTAAATATTAAGAGACTACACATTTAATAGTGTTTTGTTCGGTTTGAGGACATAAAAGTAATTAGCCATAGGATGATAGTGTTGATCTTGCTACTAAGCAAATGTTATCTTCCGGGAATAACACTAGGTATGTATGTCCTTGAAAAGAATAATAAGGATTTGCTAAGCCAGTTTTTATGTGTACCATTTGGCTCTAAATTTATATTTATATTTTCATTTTGAATTCATGCATTCGTGATTTCCATAAGCATGCGTGTATTCCTCCAAACTCATTGACATACTTAAAATTTAAAATTACAGAAAGAAAAATTCACTCCATCAAGTCTAGTCGTGTCCCTTCGCACAGGTCGGATATACAGATTGAGGACTCCCAGCTTGAAAGATTTAGCATCCTTATCGGCTTATGAAGCTACAG